TGCCGTGCATCGTTTCTGGCCAGGCTTCTCAAATGTTTCTGAGAAGAGGCACAAATTACCCTTAAGTGTTACCTCCCCCTCCACCCCTTGGTTCTCATGACCGAGTTTTACCTCTGACACTGTCTCTCACAGGTTGGAATCAGGAGGCAGTAACACTTCAACCAGCGACCCTTACAGTGACCGGGCCTCAGCAAGAGCCCGGCGGGAGGCCCGGGAGGCCCGTCTAGCCACCCTGACCAGCCGTGTGGAAGAGGACAGCAACAGGGACTACAAAAAAGTAGGGTCTTTTGAAGTTTCCTGTTCTTAGGTTACAGTGTGTAAAACTCTCAGCTTTTTCCCCAGTGTAGAAAAAAGGAGTTCTGAGGACCAGCAGATGGTGTAATGGTTCCGTCACTGGACTGCTATATAATCGACTGTGGTTTGAGTCCTACACCCGGCGGCTTACGCCAGGCGCATGTACATGTGTGCCCAAAATCCTGAGAGCAGAATGGAGGAGGAGGGATTGTGGTGTGGCCCTCCCCCTTGGGAGGGTGATTTCTCGCTTTCTGTCTGGCAAACGCACATGCCCTGTAGCAAAATCTCTCTAAGGAAAAGTAAAAAGAAAAGAGGAGTTCTGAATAAGTAAGGAAAAAAGCACTTAAGTAACAGCAGATTCCTCGTAGGGTTCTTGTTTTGCTTTACCTCTTCACCAGTTAAATAGACACTGTCATTCATATATATATATATATATATATATTAGTGCAGTAGATACATGCCTAGTATCAATTACTTAGAGATACAGGAAGAAGTAAGGAGTTAACGATTGTAAAAGAGTGGAAATTACCATGCTGTCTGTCTGAGCCCCAGCAGTCATTTGGAGACTCTTATTTTTAAGTTACATGCTTTTAATATTTTCCTATGAATATCAACTAAATACTTCTTGGCGGTAGTGAGAAAAACAAACATCATCATCCTCACCTAGGCTTGGAGCAGGTGTGAATCACTGTTTATTAGCTCATGTCCTTTGTTTCTGGCATTAGAATACCTAGCCCCAGGTTTTGACTTGAAATTTTCCCTCTCAAGTACATTAAATACCAGGAATAAACATGTTGTGTTAAGAAAATGTTTGTTTCTTTACTGTTTCGTTTAGCAGAATCTGAATCTGACTGAATCAATGTACACACTAGGCTGCTTCCAAAAAAACACTCTCTTTGAAGGAGAGCCACACCCGTAAGCAGTGCAGATGCCCCGAGGAGAAAATGGAGCCACTGTTTCCCCCCCCCTCCCCCCCGCAGATAAACATTAATGAAGTCGGGGCAGCCTCATTCTCTGTGTTCAGCACTTAGGACCTCATCACTTTCAAGAAGGAGAGGACCAGTCGCCTAAGCATGCTCTGCTCCCAGGCATCCTTCCCCTTCAGTGGTGGTGTGGGCAGAGTCCTCGGCATATGGTGAAGCTGTGAGTTTGAATTCTAGGAACCGCCCAAGTAGGTGACCTGATTCTCTTGTTCTCTTCCAGCTCTACGAGAGTGCCCTAACTGAAAACCAAAAACTGAAAACAAAACTTCAGGAGGCCCAGCTAGAGCTAGCGGATGTAAAATCCAAGCTTGAGAAGATGGCCCAGGTAAGGGTGGAAAAGAAGGTGAACGATGGGGAGACGAGGGTCGCTACAAGGCTGCAGCCTAGAGCAGGGCTCTGAAGGAGGGGAACTGAGAGTCAAGGTCAGGGCCCCTCAGAGACAGTGAGATAGAAGCCTCTTCGAGTCTAACTTGATTTTCGAGTTCAGTCAGTGTTTAACTTAAAATTGAAAATTGATAGTTCAGTGGACGAGTCACGATGGTCCGAATGCTGAGTGTTAACATTCCTGGGGGCACTCTGCAAGGCCGACCCTCACGGGAAAGTTCCCAGCTCACGTCCAGTTCCCCAAGTATGCCGGCCGCGTGCATGCACGTGCCTAGGGCTGGGGGCGGGTCACGGTCTGGGGCCTTTTGTGGGAGCAGTATCTCTATCTCATTCTCTTTATCTCTCTCTCTCTCTCTCTCTCTTGTTCATGAAAGAAATAGATAAGGAAAATTTTTAATTCAATATTATTTATCATTATCTATTTCTTAGCAGAAAAGTTGAACATGTTACACGGTTAGTCGTGGTAACATGGTTAGTCGTGGTCTGTTTCCGCCTCGCTCGTCATGTTTCAGTTCCATTTATCCACAGTCACCTTTGGAGAGGGGTAAATAAGTCAGAGACTATAGCCAAGTGTAGAGAGGTAGCAAAGCAGGCCTAGAGGGAAAAGCGGCGTGCTTAGGTCTTGGGACACATCAAGGACAGAGGTGGTGCAGAGACGCGGGGTTAAGTCCCTAAAGCAAAGACCGTCCTGCAGCGTGTGCTGTCTCCCAAACCACCACTCTCTTTCTGGCTGAGATTAAGGAATATTAGTGGCAGACAGACTAGATAAACCATTTCCTCTCACTGCCAGGCCTGATTTAATTAGGCGACGCTGTAGAGGGTGCTGGAGGTAATAACCTCATCATCGGTGAAACAAACCCTGCAGCTGAAAGCTAAAGCAAGAGCCGTCTTAGGTTATTGCCGAGTCAACAGGAAGCCTGTTGAGTTATTGCCCTCCTGGAATGCTAGAGACTAAGAATTACAAGAGCCGAACTGAAGTAAAAACGACTCTTCACTGGGATGCCATGAAATGAAAACCAGAGATGACCAGTTAGTCCAGCAATGTGATAGAATCCAAAGGCAAAGACTAAGATGCTAGAGTTCTAGAGTACTGAGTGCCGGCGGCGTGGAGGGGCAGGGGTGGAAGAGTGTCCTCTGAACATCTTGTTGCCACTGCTCTGGAACTAGACAAGCGAGGGGATGCCAACACTTGGAAGACGGCACCACAGAACTGCGTGGGAGCCCAGCAAGACGGCCAGGACACCCACACTTTCTGGAAAAGGACTGGGCCAGACACCAAATGGATGGCCTGTCCTGGGAGCTGCCTGTCAAGTTGGAAGAAGCGCCCCTGCTATGCCTGGTAGCCAAAAATGGTTCTTACTAGAAATTTCTGAGACCTACTGCAACACAGATTGATAATAACTAGGCTTGAAGTGATTTTGTGGAACAGGAAAAGTAGATCTTTATGTCAGGCCCTGTGGCCTACTAGTAAAAGGAGCCAGATCCTGGGGCCTGCAGGTGGCATGGTGGTTAAAGCACTGGACTCCCACATGACTGACCATGGTTTGAGTCCCAGACCTAGTAGCTTGCTCGCTCGCTCTCTCTGGTGAGCACATGCGCCCTGAAGTGAATTAAAAAATAAAAACTATGATAAAAATAAATAAAAATAATTTTTAAGATAGGTTTTTACTATAGAACACATGCATTCACTGAAGAGACAGAGACAGTTAGAAATCACCCCCAGGGGGCATGGCCATGCCACAGTCCTTTCTCCTCCACTCTCCTCTCAGGATTTTGGGCATGCACACACACAGGCCCGGTGTGAGTTTTAAGCCACTAGATCTGGAACTTAAACCGCAGTCGACTACGTGGGAGTCCAGTGATGTAACCATTACACCATCTGCTGGTCTCAAATAAAAATTATTTTAAAAATAAATAAGGGACCAGCAGGTGGCATGGTGGTTAAAGTGTTGGACACTCCCACATGGCCGATCACAGTTCAAGTCCCAAACCTGGTGGCTTGCTTTCTCTCTCTCATCAAATTAAAATAAATGAATGAATAAATAAAATTAAAATAAATTAATAATTACATAAAATAAAATGAGCCCGATCCTAAATAGCCAACTATGTAGTTTGAATCTTGGCCTTGCAGGCTTGAAAATATGCCTGCCTTTGTGTATGCATGTGCCCCAAATCCCAATAGGATGAAGAAATGGAGGAGAAAGCATTACAGTGTGACTACGCACCATGGGAGGCGTTTTCTCCCTCTCCCTCACTCTGTCTCTCTCTGGTGAGTGCACACACCCTCTGGCAAATTTTTAAAACAAAATTTTTAAAAACCGCGCACACACACAGTTATAACGCTGCCATAAGGCTGGGTGCGCATGGGTGTGCCGATGGAGAGAACTAAGTAAGGTCTTACTGAGGCAGGCAAAATGTCTGTCTTATTCACAGTGGCCCCTCAGAAGATATGGGGGCCTAAATTCTATTCATATAGCTCCGCGTACCGACGATGGCTGATAAACACGAGTCTGGTCCAGCCCCTGCGGCACAGTCGGTGCCCCAACCTGCAGTGCTGGAGGCCTCACAGCCGCAGCAGGTTCAGATCCCTGGCCTGGTTGACCTGGAACACACCGGGCACATATCCCGGAGGACTGGCGAGGAGGATCACAGCAGGACAGGAGTGCCAAGGGGCATCCGCCTGCCTCTGTCCTGCACACACGCGTGCTATTGTGAATAAAAATAAAACTTTCAAAGTAAATAAGGACCAGTCTTACTCTGGTTCTCGTCCATTATTACTCAGGCTGTTTTACAAAAAATTAAGGTGCATTTTATAAATGAAGAACCCACTTCCACTTGCTCCCACCACCTCCTGACAGAAGCTCTAACCACTATTTCCTGATCTTCAGGGGTTCCCCACTATCCCGCCAGCCTGTGCCACATACCAGTGAGCCTTCTAATGAGCTGCTGACATTGACCTGCACAGAGGGCACCAAAAATAAAACCAGCCTTTCCCGTCCCTGGGGACAGGCATTGACTCTCCAGCCGATTGCTTTGCTGGGGGTGTCGACCTATGCTTCATTTTGCCAGATACAAGTTAGTGAAAATCAGAAGAAATGGCGGTGCTACAGACCAAGTCCCTGCTGTTTACCAAAAATGGAGTTGTTTGGCAGGACTGTGGAAGGAGGGCCTGTCAGCCTCACGCATTTGTGCAGAGACAGTTACCACATGGACACGCGCAGTATTTTCATATTAAAGAGCCACCCGAACGCCAAGGGGGTTAAAATTTAAAACAACACACAAACACTAGTTCTTTATATATGTGAACCTAAAAATAGTGAAATCATCACAACTTGTACGTCTCAGACTTGGGGAGAAGAGACATATACGGGTACAGACAGGCTCCAAGGCCTACTCCTCATTTTTTCCCCTCTATCTGCTTTGTAGTGGATGCAGCCTAAAGGCAGATAGCCATGACCTTCAGAACAGAAGGTGAAAGCCCGGGACGGGAGCCAGAACTCAGAGTTTTACTGTTAGTTCTGGCTGTTCCTTAATTTTTTTTTTTTTTTTTTTTTTTTTTTTTTTTTTTTTTTTTTAAAGGAAAGAAAAAAACCTTTGCAAGAAGACCAGCATAATTTCTGTTTATTAGCTGTTTCTGCCTGACATTGGGCAAATAAAAATAATTACCCCATAATTATGAAATGTCTATAGAATGTAAGAAAGTCTGCCCACCTTGTAATGCTAAGGCCAAAAGAGACTTAAGGGTTCGTTTTCCTTCCCCTAGGTAAGGCAGGTTCATTGCCTGAGTTACCTGCCTGCTTCTACCTATAGTGGCTAAACTTATGCAGCCCCTCTGCAAGATGTAAATCGAAAGTCAAAGATGACCTAAAATATATGTCCTAAATCTTTTGTTCAAATACGATCTAATCTGCAATCCAATATATAAACCAGGTAAAAGTGGAATTGCTCTATTCAAAGCAAGGGAGATGCGTGAATGGCCCCCTAAGCATCCCTGGAAGCCCACCCATGTGTGAAAACCACCGCTCTAAAAGAAAAGCAGCATCATTTCCCAAAACAGAAAGAAGCGTGGAGAAGGGGTTGTTGAGAAGAATCCCCTGAAACTTAGACTTTCAAGCCAAGAAGCCCCCCAGCCTTTTAAAGAAGAAAAGCCATTTTTCATTTCCTCCGGGCCTGATGTTAACTCATAGTAAAAAAGGGAGGAGGGCCACGGTGAGATGGAAGAATGCAGCCGCCATTGAAGACCGAGAGTATCTGTAATGTCTTTGTGTGTAGGGGTATTTTTAATTTCAGGGAACTCTTCTGCCTTCACTGCCCAGGGGGAATCTTGAAAACCTCAGAAAGGTGATAATGTTAGCCTTAGAGATCTCAAACTATTTTCCAGGGACCCACCGCCTGTTTCTGGGTGTCCAGTGTGAGTCTGCACTAAGCTGGCCTTCTGCGGGCCCTGAGACTGCCAAAGTAACCACTGTTTTCCTTCCATTTGCGCCAGCAGAAACAGGAGAAGACCTCTGACCGATCCTCAGTGCTGGAGATGGAGAAACGGGTACGTGCATGGCGCTTCTCCCCGGGTCACCTCTTCTTTCTGACGTCCTCCAACTTTGTTCTCGCCAGTGGAAAAAGTTCATCCTAAGAAGGCGGGCCTTCTGCTGCATTCCAGTCCCAGTTTGAAGATAAATTCTTTTTGTCTGACTCTGGGCAGTAATTTGATTGTTAGTCCTTTTGGCTTCCTCAGCTAGTTCTTTCCACATAGGGTGGGAAGAGTTTTTGCGAGGTCATCTCTGCTCCTGGGTAGAACTGTGCGCACGCGTGCACACACCCCCATAATAGATTTCAGTGTACCGCAAACCACTGTATGCACACACCCAGGTCCCAGGTCTCCTTGCACTTCGCATCTCCCTGGACAGGAAGCTTTCAGAAGACCCTCTGCCATTGATTTAGGTCTGTGACCTGGAACAGGAGCCAGCAGAGATGGTAACTCCCTGACTGAGGGGAGAATTTCTGGGTCAGTTGCTAATCTCTTCTCAATTGCACTTGGAATTTTTTCTGGGATTTGACAGTCTGGGATTGGGAAAATGCCCTCAGATTAATTGATAAGCTCTAGCTTTGATTTGACCCTAGGGATATATAACATATTCCCCTCTCCATTGTCTGTTTAAACTGGAAGCAGTTATTCCTTTGTCCAGTAACCTGACCTCCTTGGTATCTCATCTTATCAAAGACTGCTCGTTGAGTTTAGGCCAAATCAGGACTCAGCTTCTGGGAGAGACAAATGGAGGGAGAGGGCGAGGTTAGAGGGAGAGGCACTGTTCCTGCATGGACAGTGATGCGTCCTTCCCTACCCTCCGTCTGAGAAGAGCCATTCCCTAGGAGTTCAGGGGGCACACTACCGAAGATAATGATGCCTTTTTGTTAACAGACAACAAGTGTCCTGTCACTTACAGTCATGTGACAGTCCATGAAATCTCCAGCTTAGGCAGAGTAAGTCCAAGTGCCCCCGTCTCTCTGCATATCAGCAAATTGTTTGCCCTACACAGTTGTGTCCCAGTGAGAGACTCAGAGTCCATGGTTTTTATCGGAGAAGAGCTCCAGCCCACAAATGATGGGCTCCGACAGGACTCAGATCTGGGTCAAGTTTGCCTGAGTCAGCACACAAACCCCCAACCAGAAGCTGCTGACGCCCTGGCAGCTGGGAGGCAGCCCATCGCCTCCCTCTGAATTCATCAGAGCCTCAGCCATCTCATTGTTTATAAACAGGAGAGGCGAGCCTTGGAGCGGAAAATGTCGGAGATGGAGGAAGAGATGAAGGTAGGAAGATTTCTTTCTCTCTTTGTGCCTGTTCTCTGAGTGCCTGCCAAGACTGGATATTTGAGCATAGGCCTGCCCCTCCCAAATCTTGCTACAGACTCAACACCCTCAGGAAGAGCTGATATGTGAACGGGAGGTACAACTTTTCCCCAGTCCTCTGTGGGCTCTAGGCTCTCACACATCTATGGTGGCCACCTCAAAGGCCTTCCCAGAACAAATGCCTCTAGCTTAAGGGGAGCTCTCTAGCAGGCTGGAGACAAGCCTAAATTGAACTTTTAAGGTTTTGCAACCAATGGCTTCACCCTCAAGAGGCTGGATGAAAAGGCTAGAACAAGTTTTCGGGCCCAGCAGAGCCTCTGGTTAGGTGCCTGGGAAGCCTGTGCATGGCTGACCCTTCCCAGCCCAGCCCTTTGTGAAAGGAACACAGACTGAGTCACTCTGCAGCAGAATGGAAATGTATTCACATACTGATTTCCTGTCCCAGCCCATTTTCCCTGAAATACTTGGGAATGCTCAGCGCAGTCCACTAGAATAAGCTCATGCCACCGGGTACATGTCGGGAGTTGCTGTTTTCCTCTCTCCCCTCACCATGATCTGTAGTGACTGTCACCTCCACTAGCCACTTCAATGGACAGCTGCCATTCTAGCCAGGACATGGTGTGGTTAAGGCCACTGGTTAACTATGTGATCCGAGTCCCAGACCCAGCAGCTTGAAGGGATTGTGCCGTGACCATTCCCCATAGGGGGCAATTCTCACACACACACACACACACACACACACACACACACCCTCTGGCAAAGTTGTTTTTGTTTTTGTTTTTCTTTTTTTGGAGAGGTTTTTGCTACACGTGTGCTCACCAGAAAGACAGAGAGCGACAGAGATAGAAAGTGAGAAATCACCCGCAGGTGGATGGCCATGCCGCAGTTTCTTCTCCTCCATTCTCCTCTCGGGATCTTGGGCACGCACGCACACGCGTCCAGTGTGAGTTTAAGCCACCAGGTCCGGGACTCGAACCGCAGTTAACTACATGGGAGTCCAGTGACATAGCCATTACACTAACTGCTGGTCTTACCTTCTGGCAAAGTTTTAAAAAGAAGGAGAGCACTGGCAGTTTACCCAAAGAGTCAGTTCACTGCCATGGTAGGAGACAGCGCTCCTCAGGGAAGCCACCCGGTGTGACGCTGGAGTATCTGCTCCTAGCACTGGCTCAGCTTTCTTCCCTATCTTCAAGGATCTTACTTTGTTTGTTTGTTTGTTTTAAAGTTAAAAAGCCCACCTATGGGGCCAGCAGGTGGTGTGGTGGTTAAAGACGCTGGATTCTCCCACATGGCTGACTGTAGTTTGAGTCTCAGACCTGGCAGCTTGCTTTCTCACTTTCTCTCTCTCTTTCTCTGGTCAAATTAATTAACAAATAGGTACCAGCAGTTGGCACAATGGCTATGTCGCTGGACTCCTATGTAGTTGACCACAGTTCACATCCTGGACCCGGTGGCTTAAACTCACACTGGGCACCTGTGCATGGGTGCCTAAGATCCTGAGAGCAGAGTGGAGGAAAAGGGATTGCGGCGTGGCCATCCCCCCTGGGGGATGATTTCTTGCTTTCTGTCTCTCTGTCTCTCTCTGTTTTTCTGGCAAGCGCGTGCACTCTATAGCAAAAACCTCTCCAAAAAAATAATAGTAATAATAAATAATAATAATAAATAAAGTTAAATAAAATAATTCTTTTAAAAAAAAAAAAAGCCCACCAATTCAGTCAGTTGCTATTATTCTCCATTTCCAATTACAGAATTATAAAGCCATTTGCTAAAATCAAAACCTAATACCAGCTCTGCAAATTAACCAGCTCTTCCTAAAGGACTAAGGGGCTGCAGAGGCTCCCCATCACAGCAACTTTATGACTGCGCCTTCTACCTTCTTCAGAGGCAAAAACTTCAGACATACAGATGTGCACATGGCAGAATTGGTTTGACTGGGCCTTAAGAAAATGCTTGTTCAGCTCTTGAACTTTTCATCCAGACTAACATGTGGTGACCAGTGTCTCTAGAGTGACTCGTGGCCAAAATCTGTGTGTACAAAATCTTCGTTGTAGCCAGCAAACCAAGCAGGTAACGAGCTGTCAAATCTGGGGCTCAGGAGAGCTGGGGGCCAGTCGTTCTCCATGCTTGTCGCATATCTAGTAACTGCAGATGCCCACACCTGGGGCCACCATAAGGAGCAAATTGAGGAGCTGACCTCCTTGAACCCTGGAAGGTCGTGTAACGTGTAGGTGCTCAAGGACAGAAAGCGACTTCAGAACCTGTTTTTCTGACTCTAGCAAAGAAAGTAGGAGTTGAAATGGGGGTACCAAGACATGGATCACCCCGATGTATGTGGGGTTTCTGTGCTTATGAGAGGGGTTGTGCCTTCTGGCCTGTCCTTGGAAAGGAAGGTAAGTACTCATGAATTCTCCCCAGGAGAAATTCCACCCAGACCCTGGGCTGTAGGAGGATTATTGGCAGCTTCTGACAGCTGTGCATGACCGTCTGAGCTGTGCTAGGCCTGCACTTGGTCTTGGGATGTGCCCACATCAGACCTGATTCCTTTCCTACTGCATCCTCCATTCAGCATCAACCTCCTTACCAGACCTCTCCCCTTCCTCTCCCAGGCCCTTGCATGAGAGGGCCCCAGCAGCCAACCGCCTTTGAGATTGGTCTTGGAATTTTTATTTTACTGACCCTGGAACTATCACGAGCCAGCTCTGCCCCTAAAGCCTGCCTTTCTCCACTCCGCTCCATGCCCTGCTCTCCTCCCCACTTCTTGCCATGCCTTATTTCAATACTGCTTCCTCTAGAACATTCTACCAGATTGTCCCCTGCCTCTGTCCCTCATGCCGGTAATTCATCCACCTCAATCTGCTCGTATTCACGTGTTAGATGAGTCACTTCATAGTTCCTGTCTATGATACTATTCCCTGGGAGGCCAGGACCACTTCATAGAATGACAACAATTCTGTTGAAAGCTTTGGTTCAATGTCAGCACCAAAGGGCGAGAGCCAGGGACTTTCCACGGAGTCTCCAGCCTGGCCCCTGGCTGTCTCCTCCACCTTTTCTGTACGCTGCACCATGATATCATAATCTCAGATGCCTGCGGTGGCCGAGGGGCTTGCCCGGGCCCTCCCTCTGATGGCTGTCTAGAACCAGGTGGCTGCCCTGTCTTTTTTCCAAGGAGGTCATTCTCCCTCCTTGGAGGGAAAGACATATCAGCAGTCTGTCTCTGCTTGTTTTTCCTTTTCACTGTTTTCCCCTCATGCTGCCTTTCATTCTCTTCTCTTCACTCCCCAGCATCCAGTCACTCCACTAATCTTTCATTTCTGTCCTCATCACATGGTGTGAGAGACTTCTCTCTGATCCTGGCAGCCCTTTGCAGTTGTTATAACCCAACAGGATTGTCTGTCCTCACCAGTGAGACCCCATTCACATAACAAGACCACTCCCTCCTCAGAGCTGGCGGTCTCAGTCTCGGGGTTAGTGTAGACCCCTTAGGAAGGAGTCTGAGATTCTGAGACAGAATTTCATTTATTGAAGTCTTTAGATCCCTCATGGAATATAGGGTACTAGGAAGGGATCTGTGGACTGGTTATTCTGTTCCATCTGCAACAGCGACAAGCAGTAAGGCTGGACTAGCACAGTGGCTAAACAGCTCCATTGCCCCTGGACATTTACGATTTTGCCAGCTGTTGTACACAGCTGTAACTTCTGGAATGTGAGTCTGTGAACACCTTTCAGCAGCTCCAGCCTCTGCACAGACTGGGGCATAGAGGGCACAGTCATTGGTGGACACAGTGACACATGTAGTCAGGCGGGCTAGCAGTTCTCAGGTCCTGGAGCAAACTCTGGTCTGCAGAAGAGAGCTAGCAGGGCCAGTGCAGCTTCCTGCAGAGCGAGTCAGAACACCCTCCAGGGACCTGCCACCACCTCACTTCAGCCTTCTGAACAGCACACGCCCATACAGAAAACGCTTAGATTGCAGACCCCTCTTTTGTTTTCCTTGTTTTATTTTTAAAGGTAAGAAAATAAGGTAAGAGAAGAATCCAGAAGGAAGACAAATGGGGCCAAGTGTGACGGAAAGAGGAGAGGAGGAGAGAGGGAGGGGCAGCAGTTGGATTGCAGAACACATGGAGTCCTCAGCTCTGATCCCAGGGATGGCGAAGAAGGGTCCTGAGGCCGTGGATCAGCCATGTTAACTCAGTTCAGAAGGCCTCACGCCACATCATGGGCTGTCATTCTCAAAAGCAAGGCACACATACTTTTGGAGAGCCGGTGGTCCTGTGCACACGGCCGGCCTGTGCCAAGAGCCGCAGACACAGCTCTCCCTCCCCGTGCTGCTCCCCATCACCCCCTTGCCATCTGCTCTCCGCACTCCCGCCTTTCTCATTTCCTTTCTTGCATGCAAACTAAAAGCAAAACCAGAAAGTCACGTGATTTCTTTGTCCTACTTTTTTCTCCTTTGGTTTGTCTTGTCTCTCTCTGTCTTGTCTGTCCTTCCATGTCTCACTTTCTACAGAACCTCCACCAGCTAAAACAGATTCAGACCTTGAAGCAGATGAACGAGCAACTACAGGCTGAGAACAGGGCCCTGACCCGAGTGGTGGCCAGACTCTCGGAGTCCATCGAGTCCTCGGACACCCAGGAGCTCTAGTTCTTGCCCCTCCTCTCCACCTCACTTCCCTCCTCCACTGCTCCAGGCAGGTTCCCTCTTCTTGTCAGTCCCAGAGGCTCTGGGCTCATCCCCTCCATCAACCTCCACGTGCAGAGCCTGGTAAAGCTTGGTCCTGTGGAGCTGGAAGGAACCAGGACTGAGACTGTAGAATGGGGCCTGATAGCCCAGGTCCGGGGAGGCAGTGGGGGAGCCCTCACCCAGGCCAGCAGTACATTCGGTAAGGTCAGCCCACTCCCTCTGTTCCCCTAGACACTGATATGCATTTGCTCACTTGGCTGCACATCAGAACACACGTGTGTGC